ACGGAAAAGACCGACTCATGCATGAAACTAGGACATGGTCATGGTGACATATAAAAAGTGTGTGCTATGACTAGTGATTGTATGTGACATGTTAAGACTTGTGTCATGACCATGTGGCTAGCATACGTGACTAGACTCAAGCAAAGACTAAATTAAGACCTCGCGTATATGCATTAAACTGGACAGACTGTGGTATTTTAGTCATAACTTTTTACCTATGACTCTGATTTGGATGCAACCAACGCCAAATTAAAGATCAAACTCTGGGCTACAGATCCATAAGTTGTACGACTCGTATTTCTTCCTATAACTCCAGATATGACCAAAACAAGTTGACGTTTGTGCAGTATACGGGAATAAAAATCCGGGTTGACTTAAAGGAACTATGACTCGATTTTATATTTATTCATTAGCTCAAATTAATTAATTAATTAAACAAAGTCCTTTAGTCATTAATTAGTTTATTTATTCTTAACACAAGTCAAACAAATGGTTAAGTAAACATAGAATATATGCACAACATATAATGCACAATTAGTCAAGTAGGCACAATATGATGCAATGAGTTTGCGACCTAACCATGGCTCTAGTTCTCTAAAGTTCGGGATATGGTTTAGTCAAAGAGGGTCCGTGGTTAATTGTCCGGATGCACCACGCGGAATCCTAATCGTGAAGGGTTGGCGCGATTGGATGGGACACCGCGAGTTTAGAAAAACTCGCTTCCATGGTTTGGTGAATTCAACATCTCGGATGTACCCTTTGTTGCACGGAGCGTTCAATCGGGTAGATGGATCATGAATTCCCAGAGGGTTATGTCCATATGTAGAACACATATGGGTTTTAGAAAAGTGAGAAAAAATTCAATCAGGAAGTAGGATCGAGCAAACAATACGAAAAACCGGTCGAAATTAGAACGCATATTTCTGGCTCAGTATTGGGGGAAATTGGCGCCAGTAAACAGAGACTGGCGCCAACTTTTAAATGTAGCACCTAGCGCCAATACTGGCGTCTGGCGCTACGACTAAAATGCTGGCGCCAAGCTCTGGCCCCTGACGCTACTTCCCACATGCCTCAGCAACTTTCTGTGCTCGATAAAATTTTCCAGTTTCGCGCGGTGTTATTTCAGTCCTAGTTGTGAAAGATATTTCTTAAATTTCCTACGTGTAAAATCCTATGTTTTTAACTCATTACGGATGGTCTTTCCAATGAGATTTTTTTTTATGCATATGACAATAATGTTAATCAAAATTACGCACATGAAATACTTAGAATTTTTCGAGTCTCATCCACTCATTCTAAATCATTGCCGAAACAAATTCAAGAATTAAAATAGAAATCCTCCCCAGTGGAGTCGCCAAAAACTGTAGGGAATATTTCAAGCGTTAACCCCTAGCTTGAACCCCACTGTGATCATACACTAAAGTACGATGGCTTCCAAAAGAGAAGAAGATAGAGCAAAAGAGTCGCCAACAAGTTTTAGGAACTTGTAAACCGTTCACAGGGTGAAGGTTACACCCCTTAACGATCCAAGAGATCGTCAACTCCATAAGGTCATGAACCAAATAAGGGTTCGAGGATGATAGTACAAATAGATTGCATAAGTTGCACACCATCCCATCCCAAGGTTAGGTAGATGTAGGTTGAAAAAAGAAAGGTCTATTGTTAGACGAGGCTCAAAGTGGTTTATGAAGAAATGATTGTAAATTTGAAAAAGTGAAAGGAGATATGATGTGGCTACAAGGAGTGCCTTAAATCATTGGTATACCTTGTGCTTAATTCGACATGGATTTTATTTTTATTTTTTTTTAATGCAATGAAATGAAATGATCATATATAAGGAAATAAATGCTCATTTTATTAAAAAAAGGAAATATATAATGATCCTACAAAATAAATCTAAAAAAGGCTCCTATGCTAGACTTATTAAGGAAAGGGTAAATAAAAAAAAGAAATAGAAAAAGAGGTCATGAAATATTGTCGTTGAAGCTCGCCTCTTGTCTTGCGTCGTTTCCTTTATCATCACTCGCTCTTCTTGTTAACTGGAGGCATGGGAAGCTTGTTATTATCAATCAAATGTTTGATAGCCTCCTTTATCTTTTAACAGCTTTTAGTAGAATGACCCCTACCTTGATGGTACTTGCAGTGTTCGTCTGGATTCCAACTAAACGATCTCTTCTCAAGTGGGGATCTAGAATAGGTCCAATGGGAGTAATGATTCCTTTGGCATGGAGTCGATCGAAAGCATTATCGTAGCTAATTCCAATAGGGGTGAAATCCTTTCTCAGTCGATTACCCATGGCTAGGATCTCACTAAGGTCGAAAGTACCAACACTATTACGAGAGTAGGTGTTTTCGGAAGAAGAAGGATAGTCGTTCTTCTTCCCTTTACAGCCACTGTTACTATTGTTACTAATCTTGGCCTTCTTGTCGCGTGGAGGAACATGAAGGAGATTTGGATCAATGAGATCTAGAACACAATCTTTGAGGGCGAGACATACTTCGGTGGTGTGACCACGATCTCTATGGTATCGACAATAAGAATTTGGATCCCAATTGGGAAACCTTTTTTCAGGCGGGGGGTCTTAACTGGGACCAATGGGGTAGATAAGACCTTGATCGTGAAGACAGACGAAAGCTTCATTGTAAGTCATTCTTATTGGTGTGTATTCTTCAATGGTCCGTTTTGCCTGTGGCTTAGGAGCATTGAGTTCTTCATTAAACTCTTGCAGAGTAGCAAAAATTTGCGCAATTTGATTATTTACAATTTTATTATGTGCTAGGATCGAATCAATTTGGGCATCTCTACTCTCCATGTGCTTCTGCATATTAGCCAACATCGCTCTAATTTCTACCAGAGCAGGGTTGGAAGATGAGGGGGTTTGTTGCGGTTGGTTCTTCTAGCCAGCATTGGGGTGGTAAAATTTATGCTGAGTTTGTTGTGGCGCCTGTGATTCTTGTGGTGGTGGTGGACTTTGAACATTGGTGCTCCGGTAGGAAAGGTACAGATGATTCCGGTACCCAGGATTGTAGGTGTTGGAGTATGGGTTATTCTGCCTATAAGATTGAAAGGCATTGACTTGCTCCATGGAACTCATGTAATCTTGCTCCCAATGACCTATAATTTCACAATTTTCATAGAAAGCCTCATTAGCATTATTGTTAATTGCAGAATCATTAGATACATTTGCAGTAGTAAGATTATCTAATTTCTGGCATATAGAGGTTAATTGAGCTTGTAAAAAGGATACAGAGTCGACATTATGTATCCGTTAGATTTGCTTAGATTTCTTTGGCTTACATATGCGCTTTGTTCTTGGTCTTTGTTTTTGTGAATCTGCGGTGTCTGGCGCTTAGGCCCTTAGCTGCTTTGCTCATTGAATATTTTTGCTTTTTGTGTCATCTTGCTGCTTTTTAGATTGTCTTTGGTTATCCTCTCTTGGTCCTTTGATTCTGCAAAATAACAGGTTAGAGCTAGCCGTTGGTGCTGCCACCAACGGCCCTCCAAAGCTTAAGTTAGCACTGGTGACTTAAAATATAGATATGTAAATATTTTTTTTCTATTTTTTTTAACGAAAACTTTAGAAGTGATAAAGTTTCAGATTTGCTGCGTTCTAGCTTCTAGGTACCAGCTTACCATTCGTTGTAGCTAACCTGTAGGCCCCTTTGCCAATGACTTCTACAATTTGGTATGGGCCTTCCCAGGTTTCCCCCAACTTACCTGCATTGAGCTCTTGGGTATTTTGGAAAACTTTCCTTAGAACCCAATCTCCCACTTTGAACATTCTGGCTTTGACGTTTCTATTGAAGCTTCTAGCTACCATTTGCTAATAGGTGGCTATCCTTATGCAAGCTAGGTCTCTTCGTTCTTCTATGGTATCTAGGTCGTTTGACAGCTCCTCGCTATTGCGCTCTGGCGTCATCAAGCCGTATTTGGCTGTTGGGGTGGTAACTTCCGTAGGTAATACAGCTTCACATCCGTATACCAGTGAGAAAGGCGTCTGACTTGTGGCGGTTCTTGGTGTGGTTCTATTGGCCCATAGGATTCTTGGAAGTTCTTCAGCTTCATTTCATACTTCCGGAGAATGCTGAATGTTTCTTCTAGATGGGTCACATGATCAGCTTCTTTCTTGGACTTTACTAACATATCATCGATGTATAACTCCATGGTGTCCCCCAGCTGATCCTTGAACATTTTGTTGACTAGCCTCTAATAGGTTGAACCTGCGTTCTTCAAACCGAACGGCATTACCTTGTAGCAGTAGATTCCTTTATCCGTCATGAAATCCGTCTTCTCTTGGTCATCTGGGTGAATTAAGATCTGGTTGTAGCCGGAATACGCATCCATGAAAGTGAGGAGTTCGTGGCTAGCTATTGCATCTACTATTGAGTCTATACGAGGGAGAGGGAACGGGTCTTTGGGGCATGCCTTATTCAGGTCCGTGAAGTCGATGCAGACTCTCCAGGTTCCATTCTTCTTGCTGACGACAACCACGTTAGCTAACGAATCTGGGTACTTTACTTCCCTTATCTTCCCGCTATCTAACAGCTTCTGGACTTCCTCATTGATGATCTGATTGCCCTCTGGTGCAAATTTCCTCCTTTTTTGCTTTACCAGCCTTACATTGGGGTCCACGTTCAGCTTATGAATGATGATTTCAAGACTGATTCCCGTCATATCCTGATGCGACCATGCGAATCAATCTGAATTTTCTCTGAGGCACTTGATGATAGCTTCTTTCTGGTCTGTTGTCAATGCAGCTCCGATTTTAACCTTTTGCTCCTGCTTTGACTCATCCAGCACAACTTCATCTAATTGTAGTTCGTCTGGGCGCTTGGGTGCTGGATTTTTCTGTAATTGCTAGATGGAGGGGCCATGGGGTTTTAGGGCGAGCTGGTAGCCCCGCTTACTTTCTGTCTCCTTCGACTACTGCTACTCCCCACGGGCTTGGAAATTTGAGCAGCTGGTGATAGGTAGATGGGATAGCTTTTATTTTATGGATCTAGGGGATTCCTACTATCACATTATAAGCGGTTTTGCAGTCTATCACGTAGAACTTGTACATCATGTTGATTCCTTTTAGCAGCGTAGGCAGCTGGATTTCTCCTAGGAAATTCATAGGTTCGCCATTGAACCCGACCAGAACCGTAGACCTCTTGGTGATGTCGGACTCTTTGAAGCCAGCTTGATCTAGAGCGTCTTTGAAAATTATATTGGTCGAGCTTCCATTATCTACCAGTACTCTCTTCATCTTGCAATGACCCACATGGAGGGATATTAACAAGCAATCATGATGCTCGGGCTCGTTAAACCTACTATCATCGAATAGTATTGCCATATCATCCAGCTTCTTTTCTTCACTACTTGGATAGGTTTGGGGGATGCTGGACGCTGAGGTGCCAACTCTTGCTATACGCTTTGCATTAGAGTAGGTCAGACGCCTGATGCTAGATCCTCGTGATATCGCATGAATCATAACGCCTGGGGTAGGCGAAGCTGCCGGACCTGGCAATGTTTCCCGCTTAATTTCAGGCCCTTTTCCCTTCTTTCCAAGGAGGTCTTTCAGATAGCCTCTTTTGAGCAGCCAGGATACTTCTCTTTTAAGACTGTTACATTCGTCAGTCCTATGCCCATGGTCTCCATGGTACTCACACCTCCTTGATTTATCCTTCTGGTGGTCGGGTTTGTCGCTCTTCCTAGGCCACCTTACCGGTTGCCCAATATCTTTGAGAGCGTTCACCACTCCTACTATATCGGTATCGAAACCATATGAGCTGATATCTGGATGGTACTCTATAGTTGGCCAGCTGGAGCTTTCACCTGCTTTTGGCTCGGATATGTTGTTGACGTTGTTGCGCCTTGGCTACCAGCTACTTTGTCGGGTGCTGGAGTTTTGATTGTTGAAGGATTGATTCCCCGTGTACCCCGACGGTCTCCTTTCAACCCAGTTTCTGGCATGCTCATCTTCTTCTACGCGGACTTCAGCCATTGCTCTGGTTTTAACTTCTTCAAATGAGGAGCAGGGATATCTTGTCAGCTCATAATACAACCTGATCTGTAATTGAGACCTTTGCGAAAGGCTTCGATGGCAGTTGAGTGGTCATAGTTTTTTATGCTGACCATTTTTCGATTGAACCTGTCCCAGTACTGTCGGGTTGTCTCGTTCTGCTTCTGAACAATCCGATACAGGTCACTGCTTTGCTTATCCAGCTCTCGGCTGGTAGCGAATTGCTGGTAGAATTTGTTCACCAAGCTGGAGAAGTTGGCGATGGTACCTGGCTTTAGGTTGATAAGCCATTGAAGTGCAGGTCCTGATAGAGTAGCGCCAAAGGACTGACACATAGTGGGCTCAATAAGTTCCCACGGAATTGACAATTGCCACATCTTTTGCTTGTACTAGGCCACATGATCTTGGGGATCAATGGTTCCGTCGTACATCTTTGGGAAGGAGGGGATGCTTAGCTTTGCGGGAATACGTACTTTAGCAATCTCCTCCACAAATGGGGATTTAGCGAATCCATCACGAGATTCATAAGCTACACGTTTAGGAGCACCTGGTAAGTGGGTCAGGAGTTTCATCATTTTCCGATTTTGGGCTTTAATAACGGCGACTTCCCTGGCCATAGGGTTGGGATTCCCATCAGATTGCTCCTCATCACCACGAGATCCTTCTCTCGCATCTTCACCTTTAGATTCATCAGAGGAGACCAAGGTGAACTAGGGTATGTCATCGATCTTAACCCTTTTCTTTTTGTTGCTCCTGACAGATTCTAGTTCTTTTGATAGCTTCTCCAAGGATGCTTCAGATTCAGCTTTGAGTCTTGCTAAAGTTGCTTGAGATTCTTTTTCGAGCTTTTGGCTCCGCTCTATGGAGGCTTTAAGCTCTTCTCGCAATTGCTCGATTAATGTGTTTGCGTTTGGATCAGGGTCTTCTCCCATGGTGAATGATGGACCGAATTATCTAACTGTATCCCCACAGACGGCGCCAAACTGTTTTGGTCAAAAAACTGGTTACCAGGTTCGACCTGGGTTACGATAATTACAGCTAAATTGGAATGGCAAAATATGAAAACAGAGATTAATGGAAGGGAAAAAGAGGAAAGAGAGGAGAAGACACAAGGAATGATGACGCAGAAAACCCCAAGAATAAGGTTAAAAACTGCGGGTGGCTATGAGTTCACCAATCCACTAGGTGTTTATGTGAAACAGGTTACAATAAGGATTACAGATTATAGAACGAGTAATAATAATAGGTGCTTTCTATGATGATGCTTAGTAGTAAGGCTACTGTCTTTTGTGATGCCCTGTACAATGATTAGGCTTGCCTATTTATACTAGAAAAGCATTCAAAAGATCTTCAACGACTCTTTCCCTCAATCCCTAGGAATCCGGAGTTAACACCCCAAGCTGCTCCTACTTTCTCTCCACGACTCCAGGTCTGGTATTCCCACATTTGAATTGGTCTTTCTCAACGGCTTGACTGCTAGTAGTGGTTCTGATTTCTTTGGATAGCATTTTGTACCTTTTCCCACTCGAATATTCCTAGGAATATTCCTTGGGAATATGCTCTGTTGCTTGGTCTTAACTTGGCAGCTACCTTCGACCTGTACGTTGCTAATCTGCAACTTGCAACCTTTCTACCTATAGGTCATAGGAATTTAGGGTGAAAATTCTAGCACAACAATGCTTGCCCCACATTCTTCTAATAAAGCTATTCTTAATGGTAAAAGTAAGGGAACAAGATAAAATCTAGCACACAATTCCATATTCCCAAAAATCAATCTTAGGTTGAATATCCTCCATAGTTATGCTAACCTTAGTATTATTCTGTGTTCTGGAGCCAGAAAGAATTAACCCATCCTCCCTATTTCTATCAAACAGTGTGTTCCGCCAGTTAAACCCATTTTCTCTATTCAACCCAAACCTCTCAAATCTACTCTCTTCGCCATTAAAACACCTAAAAATTCCCCAATTGAAGGAAAATTAGGGCTCATTGTACCCATTACTCTCTTTTTCACCCTTAACCCTGTTTTGGACAAACCTAGAATTCACAATCCCATACACTTGACTAAGATTCATAGCAGCATTATCAACAGATCTATGACTAGCAGTTGAATCGAAATTTAGGGAGAAATTAGGGCAACTAATCCAACTATTATTTACCTTTCTCTTCTTCTCGTCAGTATGAATTACTTCGAGCCATTCGTTTAACCTCTTCTTTCACGATTCCCTTTCCTCCAATGGTAATTCCACCATCGACAAATCATCAAAACCATGAGAAGAAGGAATCTAACTTTCTTCTAGCGTCACCTCACTTGTCTTAGACTTCTTCCTCCTCTAAGATCTTCTAAGTTTCGCCTTCTTTTACCATTTCTGTGATTTTGGGTTCAAGTTTTCCCCTACCCTTCTTGTCTTTAGCCATGGCCGAAAACATGAATTTTGAAGATAAAAAATGGCGGGTTCATGGATTTTCTCTCTCTAGAATCTAGGAGTTTCTCTGTGTTCTTTCTCTCTCTCTCTGTTTCAAAGTTCGATTGCTCTAAAATTTACATCCTTGTCAATTTTTGTGCTACTTTGAATTGACATAACTTGAAGGGTGAATAACTATGTCATAATAGCTATATCATGTGATAGTTTAGGTTAAATAACAGAAATATAACCATTAAACTATTTCATAATTCATATTTTTATAGTATAGGGCAACATAATAAATAATTATATTTTCGTTATTTTTTTTATACGGGAATCTTTATCTAATAAATTTTAAGTAAAGGGTTGTGTGCCTGAATGCCAATGCCTAAGAAATAATTGCCAAGATTGGTCTAACTTTTTTGTTTTTTTAGCCAATTAATCAAAATACAAGACAATCATGGGTGAGGGCCGCTGCACTAAGCTGCCAATCAAGTCCTTCTTAAAATTGCTACACTGTTGATTAAGTATGATGATTCTATCATTACAACGAAGGATGAAATTAGGTTTACTTGTTTGCATGTAGAAGGTTGCAAAGCAATTTGAAAATGTTGAGGTTATTGTTGTAAAAATCGTCATAGACCTGTCATTCGGTAGATTGCAAAAGAAGGAACATTTTGCATTAGCCTTTGATTTGTCAACAAAAATATGTAATTGACTTTCATTTGAAATTGAAACTAACTGAAGTTCTAATTAATGATAAAGACCAGGAAGGAAATACGCATATTCATCTCTCGTTTCTACATCATTATCGCCTTCCATCACTTGCATGACATCCAAATGTTGATGTTTGGAGCCAAAATATGCATTGTGACACAGCTATTGATATAGTACAAAGTGAACCTCAAATTTTGCTTGAAAACAAGAGCCCCCTTCTCAGTACTTTAAAGGAGACTCGAGCTCGGTGCCTCGACAAATTTAAAGGCAGTGGGGGTGGATGTAAATGTGACATGTTTAGTCCAATTCGTTACTAACTCTCTGCCTCATCATTTTGGCCAAATTCTAGATGAACTATAACACCACTAAGGATAAATGAAATTTTCAGTGATTGTAAGCTATGCTAGTTTAAGAAGAGGTGGGATTAAAGAAACATGAAGGATAAAGATTTTGGCCAAATTCTACTTATATGTGTTTAGTACGGAAATATTTAAATTTTGGATTTCGGAATTATAAAATCTTTTCGTGGGTTTGACCCTTTCTTACCTTTTTACTAGTAGTTTATATTTTTGAAGGATAAAGATCGGATTTTAATTAAATACGGTAAACAAAACGTATCAAAAAACAATCATGATGCCTACTTAAGATATAGAGATTGTATGAGACTTTTGCTAAAATTAACATGAAACAAATTATGTTAAAACAATTCATAAATTATCAAATAATGTGAAATTACATATAATACATATGTATCAAGTTGAATGCCATAATTTCCATGGCAATATATGTTTTTATTTTTTTCAAAATTTATTAAACTAAAATTTATGATATCACGTTCAATTAAAATTAAAAAATAATGTTCAAATTTGACAAAAAATAATAACATGTGAAAAATAGTTATAATAATGTATAAAAGTAGTAACAAAAACAATCAAACTTAAAAAAATAGAAATCCAAAACATGAAAAGTGATTATAGTAAATATTGATTAAAAAAATCTAATAAAGAAATATGAAACCACATTTAATTAAACAAAAAAGAGAATAATTTTGGATTGGACAAAAAAAATGTAAAACTTTAGTGCTAGTTATTCAGTGTATGGGGCTTATAAAGCGGACAAAAAACCTTATATATTAAAGATTACATCATTTTACATTTTTGTGGTTGCTAATGGATTTGCTTTGCTATGCTCTCAATGGCCGCTCTCATTGTCACTTTTTTCATGTCATTTCCGAAGTATTGTAAAAATCTTATATTGGTTAGAGATCATTTTACCTTTGTAAGTGATCTGACCATTATATCTTATGGGTTCATGGATATTGCATTTGTTACTGCTTCCTTAACCATCCTTTCTCTCGTGCCAGGCATTATTGTTGTTGCACTCACAATTCCATTTTTCATTACATATGTGGCTTTTTTGAAAAAGCATTATGAATGGTTATCCTAGTAAGCATAGCACCGAGCAAGAAGAAATATTGATATGGTTGCTAGTTTACTAAGGTCTTTAAATCAGGAATTCAAGAACATTAATTTTTTTTTTCCAGAATGTTGCAAAAGTTGTTGTAAGAGGCGAGCTCGGCTTGTATTGTCAGAAGATGTGTATAATTATATATATGCATTTTGTTTATGGAGAAATGCAAGTGTTCTATATGCTAATATGCTTTTACAGCTTTAGTTTTCAAAGGAAGAGTAGTGCAGGCGTCGTTCGAAGTGCACCTACGTTTAGCATGTGTGAATATGCTCGGCACTCGATCATAGGAAGTGGGAATTGACATAATACAATTAGGGACAAGGAAAGTAGGGAGCCGCCAACAAGTTTTTAAGGAACTTGTAAACCGTTCACGGATCATAAAAGGCAACCACGAGAAAGGGACAACGATAGGAAACAACGATTGACCCATGAAGGTTACACCCCATTCATAATCCATGAGATTACTAACTCCATATGGCTCGAAACCACGAAAGGAGGATCGAGGATGATGGTACGAAGTGAGTCATGGAGTCACATTTTCCTGTATTGGCCTCTACTCGATTCTTATTGTGAAAAGTGATTTTTGCGATCTTAAAGGCATGCAAACAAATATTCAATTTGCCCCAAACTATTATTAAGCTAAATTGGTTGAATATTAATGCAACATATAATTGTAATATATTAGTGATCACTTGAATTAATAACAAGATTAAAAAGGAACCTAAATCGGACGTCCAAATTATATTATTAGGCGTGATTTTTAATTACATATTCCCTTTAAACATGCA